TTGTTTTTTAATCCCTTATATTTATGGTAAAAGATTTTGGTTTTCCATTTACAGCAGTGGTAGGATTTATTTATCATAATTTAGTGATTTGTTTAATCAAATAAATAATTTACTTAGTATTCAAAAGTGAGAGAATTTAAAGCAATAATCTTGAAGCTGCCACGGGCCTGACTGAGTTGCGGAACCCCTGTATGCAGTCATCTGGGGGAACACCTTTAAGCAGCTCCGCTCAGGACAGAGCCTAGGAGATGATCACCAGAGGGTCCTCAGGCCCCGTTTTCCTGCTTGACACCCCCTACCCATCACGCATTCCCCCTGGTGCTGCCAGGTTCTCTGGGTGTTGCCTGTGGGTCTTCCAGGAGAGAAGCTGGTGACCTTTCTGATACTTCTGCTTGATCTCCCTGGATCTCCAAGGAACCTGTGCATTTTTGTGTGTGTACAGCTAAACATATATCACAAAAAATGTGCTGTTTCATCCAGTCTTAAGTGTACAATTCAGTAGCGTTAATTATATTCATCATGCTGTGGAACCATTACCACCATCCATTTCCAAAAAATTTTTATCACCCCAAACAGAAACCCCTTAAGCAATAACTCCCTGTTCTCCCCCCCTTCCCCTCCCCCAGTCCCTAGTAAACACTGATAAACTTTTGGCTCTATGTATTTCCTGTTCTAGATATTTCATATAAGTGGAATCATACAGTATTTTTCCTTTTGAGTCTGACTTATTTCGTTCAGCTAATGTTTTCCAGGTTCATCCACGTCATAACATGTATCAGAACATCATTTTATGGCTGAATAATATCCCACTATATGGATATACTTTTGTTTATCCATTTATCTACTGATAGACACTTGGGTTGTTTCCACCTTTTGGCTATTATGAATAACACTTCAGTAAACATTAGTGTACAAGCATCTGTTTGAGTTCCTGCCTTCAAGTCTTTTGGGTAGATACCTAGGAGTGGAATTGCTGAGTCACATGGTAATTCTATGTTTAACTTTTTGAGGAACCATCAGACTGTTTTCCACAGTGGCTGCACCATTTTACATTCCCACCAGCAATGTATGAGGGTTCTGATTTCTCCACATCCTCATCAACACTTGTTACTTTCCGTTTTTCTGATAATAGTCAAGGAGCTTGTACATTTTAAGAGGAAGTTTTTAGATATTTGCTGGCAGCTTAAGGAGGTCAGCCTCTGTTTACTGAGCGCCTGCTGTATGCCCTGAATTCTACGGACGTGATTTCTTTTCATCTTCCAACAGCCCTTAGAAGTGGGTACTGTGATTATTTCCATATTATTCCAGAGGAAACTGAGTCTGAGTAGGGTGAAGTGACATGTCCAAAGACACATAGCTGTTAAACCTGTGGCCAAGCTGGCTAACTTCAAAGCTCATGCTTCTTCACTGTGCCTCTTAAAGGAATCTGGAAGGATTTCATAGTGTTCTGCTTTTCATTTATGTGCATACTAAAAAGCCCATACTAAACGGCAGTGAGTGGTATGGTTAAGTGATATATTCACAGCAGCTTAAGGCATTATACCTTCTAGGTTAAATAAGATATGACTTGAGACCACAAAATCTTACCAACCCAAAGTAATGACTCTCTTAATAGTGGAATTCTCAGGCCAGAAGGAGACATAGACGTTTGCCTCTCTGTATAAGTTAGGAGATGGAATATGTGATTGTTACTTAAAATAAGCTGTTTTTCTTTAAGGACGTCCAAGAGGTAGACTTAAGAGACATACTGGTGGGGTCATCATTGATTGCCCATCCTGTGCCAAGCCCTTGCTTTCTCACTCAGGCATCTGAATAGCCGTGCAAAGTGGATGTTGTTGGTGGTGTTAGGTCCTGTTGAGTTGGTTTCCACTCATAAAGACCCTGTGTACAATAGAACGAATCACTGCCTGGTCCTGCACCATCCTCACAGTCTTTGTTATGCTTGAGTCTGTTGTTGCAGCCACCGTGTCAATCCATCTCGTTGAGGGTCTTCCTCTCTTTTGCTGACCCTCTACTTTACCAAGCATGATGTCCTTCTCCAGGGACTGATCCCTCCTGATAACATGTCCAAAGTACGTGAGACGAAGTCTCGCCATTCTTACTTCTAAGGAGCATTCTGGCTGTATTTCTTCAAAGACAGATTTGTTTGTCTTTCTGGCAGTCCACAGTATATTCACTATTCTTTGCCAACACCGTAATTCAAAGGCATCAATTCTTCTGTCTTCTTTATTCATTGTCCAGCTTTTACATGCATATGAAGCAATTGAAAATACCATGGCTTGGGTCAGGCATATCTCAGTCCCCACAGTGACATCTTTGCTTTTTTTTTTTTTTTTAATACTTTAAAGACATCTTTTGCAGCAGATGTGCCAGATGCAGTACGCTGTTTGATTTCTTGACTGCTGCTTCCATGGCGTTAATTGTGGATCCAAGTAAAATGAAATCCTTGACAACTTAATATTTTCTCCGTTTATCATAATGTTGCTTATTGGTCCAGGTGTGAGGATTTTTGTTTTCATGTTGAGGTGTAATCCGTACTGAAGGCTGTGGTCTTTGATCTTCATCAGTAAGTGCTTCAAGTCCTCTTCACTTTCAGCAAGCAAGTTTGTGTCATCTGCATATTGTAGGTTAATGAGTCTTCCTCCAATCCTGATGCCCCATTCTTCTTCATATAGTCCAGCCTCTTGGATTATCTGGTCAGCATACAGATTGAATAAATATGGTGAAAGGATACAACTCTGATGCACACATTTCCTGACTTTAAACCACGCAGTATCCCCCTGTTCTGTTCAAATGACTGACTCTTGGTCTATATACAGGTTCCTCATGAGCACAATTAAGTGTTCTGGAATTCCCATTCTTCACAATGTTATCCATAATTTGTAACGATCCACACAGTCAAATGCCTTTGTGCAGTCAATAAAACACAGGCAAACATCTTTCTGGGATTTTCTGCTTTCAGCCAAGATCCATCTGATAGCAGCAATGATATCCCTCGTTCCACATCCTCTTCTAAATCTGGCGTGAACTTCTGGCAGTTCAATGTACTCCTGCAACCACTTTTGAATGATCTTCAGCAAAATTTTACTTGTGTGTGATATTAATGATATTGTTCCATAATTTCCACATTCTGTTGGATCACCTTTCTTTGGATTGGGCATAAATATGGTTCTCTTCCAGTTGGTTGGCCAGGTAGCTGTCTTCCAAATTTATTGACATAGACGAGTGAGTACCTCCAGCGCTGCATTCGATTGTTGAAACATCTCAGTTGGTATTCCGTCAATTATTGGAGCCTTGTTTTTTGCCATTCCCTTTAGTGCACCTTGGACTTCTTCCTTCAATACCATTGCTTCTTGATCATATGCTACCTCCTGAAATGGTTGAACGTCAACCAGTTCTTTTTGGTACAGTGACTGTGTGTATTCCTTCCATCTTCTTTTAATGCTTCCTGCATCATTCAATATTTTCCCTATAGAATCCTTCAATATTGTAACTCGAGGCCTGAATTTTTCTTCAGTTCTTTCAGCTTGAGAAATGCTGAGCATGTTCTTCCCTTTCGGTTTTCTAACTCCAAGTCTTTGCACATTTTGCTATAATGCTTTACTTTGTCTTCTCGAGCCACCCTTTGAAATCTTCTGTTCAGCTCTCTTACTTCATTATTTCTTCCATTTGCTTTAGCTACTCTACGTTCAAGAGCAACTTTCAGAGTCTCTTCTGACATCCATTTTGATCTTTTCTTTCTTTCCTGTCATTTTAATGACCTTTTGCTTTCTTCATGTATGATGTCCTTGATGTCATTCCACAACTCCTCTGATCTTCAGTCATTAGTGTTCAATGCATCAAATCTATTCTTGAGATAGTCTCTAAATTCAGGTGGGATATACTCAGGGTCATACTTTGGCTCTCGTGGACTTGTTTTAATTTTCTTCAGCTTCAATTTGAACTTTCATATAAGCAATTGATGGTCTGTTCTGCAGTCGGCCCCTGGCCTTGTTCTGACTGATGATATCGAAGTTCTCCATCATCTCTTTCTACAGATGTAGTCGATTTGATTCCTGTGTATTCCATCCGGCGAGGTCCGTATGTTTAGTCATTTATGTTGTTGAAAAAAGGTATTTGCAACGAAGAAGTTGTTGGTCTTGCAAAATTTTGTCATGTGATCTCTGGCATTATTTCAATCACCAAGGTCATATTTTCCAACTACCAATCTTTCTTTGTTTCCAACTTTCGAATTCTAATCACCAGTAATTATGAATGCAATTTGATTGCATGTTTGATCAATTTCAGACTGCAGAAGTTGGTAAAAATCTTCAATTTCCTCATCTTTGGCCTTAGTGGTTGGTACATAAATTTGAATAATAGTCATATTAATAGGTCTTCCTTGTAGGCGTATGGATATTATCACTGACAGTGTTGCACTTCAGGATAGATCTTGAAATGTTCTTTTTGACGATGAATGCAACACCATCTCTCTTCAATTTGTCACTCTTGGCGTAGTAGACTATATGATTGTCTGATTCAAAATGGCCAGTACCATTCCATTTCAGCACACTAATGCCCAGGATATCGATCTTTATGTGGTCCTTTTTTTTTTTTTTTTTAAACAAAGTGAATAATGCTCTATTTTAAATTAGGACATGGGCTTAGAAAGGTTAGGCAAGGTCACATAGCTAGGAAAGGGCAAAGCAGCCATTCCAAACCCAGGCCTGGCTGGTTCTGTGGCAGACACTTACTTAAACGGATCTCCAAATGAAATAGTAATAATTGATTCAGAAGCCAAAGGTTGTAGTACTTTGGATTCTCCATTTGAAAACACCTTCCTGGCAACTTCCATACCTCCTTTCTGGAGTTGCCCCAGGATTGAGTTCATGCGGCAAGTGGGAAAGTGCCACGCCAATGCAACTTATGACCCTTCCTGCCTGTCTTTACTGGCTTCCTCACGCTTACCCTCGAGCCTCCGCAAGTCCCTGCTCTAACCTCAGTTTCCCCACTTCTTCCAGGACCGGCGGAGGACAAATGCCAAGAACTCATATGCAAGTGTGACCGGGAGGCTGCTGACTGCTTAGCCCGAGCTGAGTACAACATACAGCACCTCTTCTACCCCTATTTCCTATGTGGGAAAGACTCACCCAAGTGTGACTCCTAGCCTGACTTGAAATGATTTTTTGCATAAGGAAATAAATCTCCTTTTCACTGATCAACAGTAGTGTTCAGTTCTCTGCAGGAGGGAACTGAGGCCAAGTGATACAGCTGCAAGGCTTGTGTTTGCTTTCTCTCCCTGTCCCGGAACTTGGGGCTGGAGTCTGTTTGGTTTCCAGTTTGATTAAGGTCGAAAGTCCTGTGTCTGTTTCATAGAACCACAACTATGTTTATGACAGTGCCCGGTTTGGTAACATTTTTGAGATTCACCCCTTATGAAAAGGTGAGCTTTGTCTTCTAACCTGCTTCTGATGACGGGTGGTCAAATATGAGTGACCTTCTATGAGCCTGGCCTCAGGCTAGGCTCTGAGATTTAGCATAAGATGTGACACTCAAGTCTAGTGGCTTTTAGCTTCCCCGTTGCCACCAAGTCAATTCCGACTCATAGCCACCCTATAGGACAGAGTAGAACTGCCCCATAGGGTTTCCAAGGCTATAAATCTTTACGGGAGGAGACTGCCACATCTTTCTCCCACGGAGCAGCTGGTGGGTTCAAACTGCCGACCTTTTGATTAGCAGCTGAAGCTTAACCACTGCGCACCAGATCTCCTTAGGCTTTTAGCTAAGAGAGTATTATTCCCCAACTCCCTTCACCTTTAACCATTAAAACTTATTTCCTGACTACAAAAGAAGTACATCCTCATTGTTAAAACAAACAAACAAACTACAGAGAAATATAAAGCAGAAAAAGTCACCCCTGATGGAGGTGTAGGCTGAGAACTGAATGGAAAGGGTGAACACAGCGCGGACCGTCAGGGAGAAGAGCTGTGAGTAGGTGATCTGGAGAGCGGGGACCATGATGAAGCTAGCACAGTGGCTGTGGGGGCTGGCGCTCCTGAAGCTGTCCTGGACCTGCAGGAATTCCTGTGGCCACCTCCCGCTTATTTGCTGGGGACCGTTGGCTGCTTTGCCCCGGGCACCTTGAGCTATTGCGTGGCCACTTTTCGCGACTGCGAGGACGCAACCCTGGAGCCGCAGACTCAGATCCAGGAGGCCCTGGCCAATTTGGCCAGTAAGGGCCTGCGCTTCTAACACCCTCCCTCATCCCTGCCCAGACTGCCCTCCCTCCCAGCCCCCATTAAAGAGCAAGTTCATTTTCTACGTTGTTCAGTTTCTGTGTGGAGGATGATGATTAGGGATGTGTACCAGCAGTGGAGAAGTGAGAGGTTCCAGCTTCCTGAGGTCCTATCAGCCTTTATCAGTGCATCCTGCTGGCATTCCCGTTTTGGACTGAAGGAGGCAAAGACCTCTTCTCAGGATCTCTCAGGACGAAAATGTCATTCCACTTCCCTGGTCCTTTTAACCCTGTCAAAAAATGTCTTGATGCCTAACCTCTGTTCTTCTTAACAAAAGCTAAGCTCCATTCTTGAAAAAAAGAAGTCACCCCTTCCTACACTCCAGAAATAACCACTCAGCATTTTCGTGGGACGTCCTTCAGGCTTTTCTATACTTCCAATACCATTTTGTAGACTGCTAACTTTAGATCTTGGGAGTATTTCCTATTTTAAATAATTATTGCCGTTATGTCTTGTGAATAAATCTTTGCTCCCCCCGACCCCCGCCACCTTTTTATTATTCCTTAGCCCAGATTTGGATCAAAGGGTCTGAATATTTTCAGTGGACACCCTGAAACCTGAGGCCCTCACTCTGAGTGTGCCCAGCCCTGCTCCTGGTGATAACGAGGAGAGTCCAGCCCAGCCTGTTTGCTCTAGGCCAACTCACCCCTCCCCTCCTCCCCAGAGCAGATCCGGGTACTACTTATCTTTGAGGCAGGTGGAGAGCAGGTGTGACTGTGTGGGAAGACAGATGGGGGCCCATTAGCCTAGGGGTTGGTAACCTGCAGTTCTGCCCGGGCCCAGCTCCACCAACACTCCCTAGCACCAGCTCAATGACCTTTGCCACCCAGCCTCCATCTCTTCCTCTGGAATGAGGAGAATAATAGTAACCCGGCATGGCATGAGACCAGGGATGCGCAAACACCACACGGTGTCCCCAGATCCCAGCACCCTCAGCATCTTGGACAGGTCGTGTTGTGTTAAAATGTGAAGCCAGGCAACCTTGGGGCCTGGCATGCCAACACAGGAGGAAGAAAAATTCTCCCTCCTTTGACTAAAGACATCTGAAGGTGGCTCCTTGGCTCAACGGTCAAGTCAGGCTGGGAGACAGGAGCCTGACTACTACAATTGTTCAAGGCAGATTCTTCTCGAGTTTTCTACTCAGTCTTTCTCTATATTAGAGGTCTTATCTGTATAAAAATCTTTATTTTTATCTCAAGTAATTTCGTCAAGCTTTCAGATGCAAAGTGTAAGCGACATCTTCACTCAGATACAAAGGATTAGTGAATGGTTCAGAGTCATGAAAACTCTTTGGCTGCAAGCTCATCTCTGCAGGGCCAGTCCTCAGGGAGATCACACCTCACGTCTGTCGTCTTTACACTGAGGAAATAAGAGGCCAGCGTTCATGTCACTCCTTCTTTACAATTACAGTACCTGGTAAATACCCATCAAATACCCATCACAACAGGACAATGAAGAGAGACAGTGTGAGGTCCATTTACAAAATGTTTCCTGGAACAAAAGCACTGTCCTGGAATTTATTTTACTGATTAAATTCTTAAAAACAATTTTAAGGTAGCAGGGAGGCAGCTGAGCTGGGCCGGGTATGAGTTACCCTCCATTAATTGCCGGCACCCCACTCCAGCCCCCAGCCCCCTCTCAGAGAGACGGATCAAACATCAGTGATTACAAGTAGACAGTGACTCCCAGTGTAATCATCATTCTGGTCTCAAACTGGATCCTTTCAGAGGTTCCGTGCTGAAATCTTCTAGCAAGTCTTCACTAAAACAGAATCGTCCATCAAACTGTGGTGTTTCCTCGGTTATTTTTTATGTGCAACTGTCTATGTCTATGACAATATTTTTTTCCCGTTTCCCTAAATCTGACTTGCAGGACAAGCCTTGTCTCAGTTTCGGTCTCCAGGTTCCAGCTCACCCTGGAGCCTCAGTCAGGTGCTGAAGTTAGGGTAAAGGGGGCCGCGGGCCTTCAGATGCCAACCACACGGTGTCCTCTGAGGATGCCCAGAGCCCTTGCCAGCTGTCAAGGCCTGAACCTCACAAGTCCCTGTGAGGGAGGTGGCTGGGCGGGAGGTGCTGCTGCTGCCTTGGGCAAACAGAGTCCACCGTACTCTGGGATGCCAGTCCCTGCTGCCACAGGCCATAAGCAGAGAGGGAGAGGACCTGGCTGTAGCCTTTAACATACAAAGCAGCACCTTGTTTTACTAGGGGTAGAAAGAAGGAATTCCACTTCCTCCCTCACCCCTTGTTAGCATCAAAGCGCAGACATCAGGGAAGCTGCAAGACTCCTGTGGAGCCTGGGCACTGTCAGTCACAGCACTTGAGTTTCCAGTCGTCGGACTTCTTTGACCACAAGATCGATGTTAATAATTGGGTTAAAGTACAGGGCCCAGTAAAATAAACAGTTGCAAACAAACTGAGGAATGAGGGGCCAGAACATGGCCACAAAAAGCCCCTGTGTTGATACTTTCCAAAAATGGCTCCACATCCTCTGAGGCACTGTCCTGAAAAGAGAAGAGAAGCGTTTCAGGGGCAGAATTGTGGTGGCATTTCTAATGATGACACCCAAGTGCTCAGACCCCGGGCCTTCTCCCAGCACCTCACAGAATGTGGGCAACTGTGTGCAGAGACCTTGTCTTCCTGTCCCTGTGCCTGAGATGTGCTTTAGCCTGACTAACCCATCTTCATTCTGGCTCCCTCAGGGCACTATTCCCTCATCTCCCACACTGGGTGAGGCCTTGCTGCTCACGCAGCCACAGCCTCAGCCTTACCTGCTTCATAGCTGTGTCACACTCATGTACTTCTTAACATAGATATTTTCTCTGCTAGGCTGTAAGTCCCAAGGGTACAGATGGCCTTCTTTACCAAAAATCTCCAGTGCCCAGCAGAGAGCCAGGTGTGCAATATGAGCTCAACTAACCGTGCACAAATCAATGAGTTTGCAGAACTGAAATCAATGAGGGAGATTCTTGACAGGTTCGCAGAACTATGTATAAGGCTGCTTCTGACTGACCAGGCCAAGAGCCCTGTGAGTTACGGGACGTTTCAAGCTGAAGGGAATCTGGTGTAGTGGAGGTGTCACTTCTGCCTGCCCGCGGCCATCCCCTTTCTTCTAGAAACAGCTTCTCCTCTCCTCTGTTCTTTCCCATGTGGTTTGGGTAGGGCCGAAGGCAGCCCTGGGTTGTGGGGTGAACACATGACAGGAGCCTGGCTGAGGTGAGCATGTGACCCAGGCTGCGCCAATCAGAGCAAAGGAGTGTGAGCCCTGAGACTTTCGCAAGTGCTATGGGGGAAGAGGTGCTCTTTCCACCATGTTGCTAAGCTGCTCAGAGGGAAGCCTGCGGTGGCCAAGAACCCGACATGAAGAGAGCTACCTGAGGGTGAGCAACACAGGAAAGGGCTGAGCTGTGAGAGGGAGAGAAAGTCAGTCCTGGTGACAGCACTTGGGTCTCGGGTCCAGCCACGCCTGAAAACTTGACTGGGCTTTCCCTTTTCCCTTAGCCAGTTCAGGGTGGGCCTGTCACTTGCAGCCAAGAGTCCTGACTCAGAGACTGTCCAACTCTCTCATTTTATGCATGAGTCCAGAGAAGTAATGACTGTCCCAGTTGGTGGCAGAGCAGGATTAGAACTCATACCTGCAGAATTCCCGATTAGACCTCTTTATGCTCTACCCTGCTGCTGTGTTCCATGAAGGACTCCCTTCTCACTTGCTTATTTCTTAGTTATTAAAATCCTCCACCACCACACCCTAGACTATATGGTACCATAACTACCTATGTAAGGATAAAACATTCTGGGCAAACACTTTAACAATGGGCACCACAAAAACCAAGAACCCATACCAAACACAAGGAGTGTTCCTAGCCACCATTCAAGTAGTGTTTTTCAAAGGTGAGTTTGGGGTGGTCTTGGTAGACTAAGGATTATTTCAAGTCTGAGAAACACTTCAAAGAGGACCTATCTCCCACTCGGTGTTTCTCTCCCAGTTCCTACTGCTCCATGGCTCTTCCACATGAGAACACACTTACTTCAGTTCACTTCTTGACCAGATTCTCCACACAGAGAATAATTCCAGAACTGAGAGTAGCATGGCATTGACGATGAGAAACCGCGATGTCCAGTAATGAACCTCCAGCCAGTCCCACGCAAATTCAGCAATCAGCTGGTATGGGAGGAAGGAGTATTTTATCAGGAATTCCCTCCACTGCTTCCAGGTGGGCTCTCTAAGATCCTTTAGCAACAACACACACAGACACAAAAACTCATGAGGAGTGACTTTTTCACAGGGTATTGTGGTTATCCCAGGGGGTTTCACATCTTATTACTTAAATACAAACACATATTATCCAACAATCTAGAATGAAATGTCTGTCAACCCTTCTTGGAATACAACTCTTCTTATAATAATTAATCTGAAGTAGCACAGATATATGTCACCAAATAGGTCAAAAGAGATGCTTGCTACATAATCGTGGACGCTAAGAAGTAAAAATCTAAGCATAAGTTATGAACAATGGGGTTGAAATTAATTTAAATCAACCAGTTTTTGTTAATATCTTCACAACATCCATTGCGATCGAGTTGATTCTGACTCCCTGCAGCCCTACAGGACAGAGCGGAACCACCCCATAGGGTTTCCAAGGCTGTAATCTTTACGGGAGCAGACTGCCACATCTTTCTCCCCTGGAGCAGCTGGTGGGTTTGAACTGCCGACCTTTTCGTTAGCAGCCGAGCACTTTAACCACAGTGCCACCAGAGCCCCTTTCATCACAGCATAGGTAGCTCAAACCATCTCCTAAATTCAGTATTTTAGCTGTGGTAGAACAGTGACAGTTGTAGGGAAATTTATAAACACATACACACTCTCTCTCTTTCAAAAAAGTAATGTTTCGAAAATAAAGTTCTATAGTTTTTATAATTACTGGTATAAGCAGATAATTAAAAAATTAAAAGGAGCATTTAAACAACTGGTAGGCAACCAGAATGGAACCCTGGTGGCGCAGTGGTTAAGAGCTCGGCTGCTAACCAAAAGGTCGGCAGTTGCAATCCACCAGTTGCTCCTTGGAAACCCTATGGGGCAGATCTACTCTGTCCTGTAGGGTCGCTATGAGTTAGAATCGACTCAAGGGCAACAGGTTTTGTTTCGTTGTCTAGGCAACCAGAAGCCTAACGCTGCACACCCTGCTGGGAGCTCAGGAAGACTGCATCGGAGCAGGGACTGGGCCTTCAAGGAAAACAGTGAGCCTGATGGAAGGGCGGAGCCATGGGGGCATGTGAACATGGAAAGGCTGGGGTCTCTGTGCTCCCAGACTAGCAAGGACAGGTCACTGGAAACTGGGTAATTAGAGGGACACACTGCAAGGGTGCTAATTCAACCACACCCAAGGCTGAGGTCAGTTAGGTGGGCTCTTGATTAGTATTTGAAAAAGGGTCTTAGGCTGTCGTAGCCATGATTTCAGAGGAGACCATAAGGGAGACCTATTTATCTTTCAAGTAGAGTTTTCCGATGGAACGGGAAATGGAATTTCACTGAAAATGGTTTAATTTTTTATACAGAAGGTTTTGTACATAATGTGTATCAAGTGAATATTTTGAGTCATTTTCACCAAACCACTTTTTTTCCTAAGTATTACATACACATACATACACACATTTATATTTTTAGTATAACGTTTAGTTTGTTTGGATTATAAAAGTGATGTCAAATCTGTCTTATTTATCTGGATATAGCAATGACTGGCTTTCTTCAAAATTAAAATGTTTGTGCCTTGATTCATTAAAATTAGGAAAATCATTTGTTTATGAACACTAAACCTGCTTTTCTTTTTGCATACCCCTATAATACTGCAACCCCCAAATCCAGATTGTGGGTAAGATATGATTCTGTGTTTTTAATTACTGTCAAAATTAAGTACATAATTATATCAAACTTTTTAAAAAAGGACATTGCATTGGGCTGCAAGAATTTCAAGATACTTCTTTATATATTTATGGGTGTGAATTACATATGATGATTCCTACATCCATGTGACTTTGACAAACAGACTGGAAGGATTGGCCCCAAGAGTAGTAATGCAAAGGATACTACCCTCAAATGACCAACTAGACTCAGAGAAAATCACCCTGAGTGAACGGCATCCACCAACAATTCGGAAGGAATCCATGGGTCGCTGTTCCAAGGCCAACAGGGCGGACACTAACCCTGCCTCCTGGTAGGACAAATAATCAGCCTTTGAGGGCCCTGTTAAGAGACAGATTACTAAACTGGGAGGCCCATAAATGGAACTCTCTCTAGACCTATGCTATCTTCTTTTATAACAAAAGCAATGCTGTTCTTTTAATATTTCAGGTCCAGAGAGTAGCCTCTCTTGCTAAGCAATGCAATAACAAAGTAGTCTTTTGGCAGTGTGGAAGGTCCTACTTTCTTTTCTTTTTCAGGGCACTCTCCCTAAGGCTGGCTGTTGTTTGCTCTTCCATGGGAGGCTACAGCGTATCTCCAATTCCACACCACACAGAGGAATGGCAGAATACTTCTATTCCAGGCATTCTGCAGACCTACCAGAAGCTTGGTGATGATGTCCTCTCTGAAGTCGTCTTCTTGAAGAGGGCAGATGGTATGGATGAAGGGTAGGAAGGTGTCTGTGTAGTCAAACAGGTACAGGTACAGCAGACCGAGTCTGGGCGAGCTCTTGAGGGCGTACAGCAGGAACAGGGACCGGCCTGGGTTCACGGCCTGCAGAGGATGAGGCGGGCACAGGGCCATGTTACCACCTCCACAGCCAGCTCCCCACCCACGCTCCTGCCACAGTCACACATCCTGTTTATCAGCTTTTCCTCATGTTTTGCCCAAAGAATGAATGCATGTATGACAAGAAGAGGCCAAGTAATCGATCCATTGGGCTATATTACATATAGATCCAATCTCTATCCATCGCTGGGGATCATACATACCCCTAGGCACTAGCAGAATGGAACCTTTTCAGAAAGCAGTTTTGCAAAATGTACCAAAGAATCTTAAAAATGTTTCATTTAGCCATGCTATGAGTGGGCACCACTTAATAAAAAGATTTTGAAATACAGAGGGCTTATGCACCAGATGGTTACTGTGGCATCGTATGTAATAGAGAAAAAGAGTGAAAAACAAGTGGCCTAAGTAAAGTAAGTAAATTACAGTAGATAATTATGGTAGATATTTAACACAGAATTCATAGAGCCACTGAAAACTCTATGAGGAGCTTCTAATAATGCTCATGTATTTTTAAATATCAGCTGAAAAAAGGTTTCAAAGACGTGTGGCAATGATCCCGGCAGAGGGTCAGCTCCATGAAAGTGGAGTCTCTCCTTCTGTGCTGTGACCCCTCCCTGGAGGAACACCTGGCACGCCACGGACAGCCAATAAATATTTGTTGAACAAATAAACAAACAACGAACTGTTTAAAATATGCACAGAAAACAGGCTAGAAGAAAATAGAACAAAATGCAATGTTAACCTGTGTTTGACTCATAGGTGGGATTATGGGCAATTTATTTTCATTTTCCTCCCTCTTGTAAATTTTCCAAATTTTACTAAACGAATGTACATTTATATTTTTCCTGATTATAAAAGTAACTTTATCAACCAAGTAAAGAGACAACCTACGGATTGGAAGAAAAATTTTGGGAGCTGTATATCTGATAAGGATCTAATAATAGCCAGAATATTTAAAGAACTGCTGTACTTAATAACAAAAGACAAACAATGTAATCAAAAAATGGGCAAAGGAACTGAATAGACATTTCACCAAAGAGGATCTATAAATGGCTACCAAGCACATGAAGAGATGCTCAACATCATTAGTCATTAGGGAGATACAAATCAAAACCACAATGAGATACCACCTCACCCCTACTTGAACGGCTATGATAAAAACAGACAAACAAAAAAATAACAGATGTTGGTGAGGATGTGAAGAAACTAGAACCCTCATCCATTGCTGGTGGGAATGCAAAAGGGTACAGCTGCTGTGGAAAACAGTTTGGCAGTTCCTCAAAAAGTTGAATGCAGAATTACCATATGACCCAGCAATCCCAATCCTAGGCATATACCCAGAAGAAGTGAAGGCAGGAATGCAAACAGAACCCTGTACACCAATATTCATCACAGCACTTTTCACAATAGCCAAAAGGTGGAAACAACCTAAATGTCCATCAACAGATGAATGGATAAACACAATGTGGTACATACGCACCATGGAATACTACTCAGCCAAAGAGAGAAATGAAGCCCTGGTACATGCTACAACAGGAGGAACCTTGAAAATATTATGCTGAGTGAAATAAGTCAGTTATAAAAGAACGAATACTATATGATCCCACTTATATGAAACAGGCAAATGGATAGAGACCAAAGCTTATTAGTGGTTACCAGGGGTGGGAGGGAGGGAAACGGGGGAGTCTTAGCTTAGAGGCACTACATTTCTGTTAATAATGGTGGAATAATTTGCAAGTGGATAGGGGTGATGGTTGCACAACATGATAAATGTAATCAATGTCACTGAATTATACATGTAAAAATTGTGGAATTGGCAAATGTTTTGTTACATATATTTTTACCAAGATAAAACAATAAAGTAACTTTAAAAATGATACAGCTATTTGATACTGGGGCCCTGGTGGCGCAGTGGTTAAGCGTTCGGCTGCTAACCAAAAAGTCAGTAGTTTGAATCCACCAGTCGCTCCTTGGAAACCCTACAGGGCAGTTCTAATAAGCATCAAATAAAATGAGCAGAAGATTTGAATGAATATTTCACCAAAGAAGCTATAAGGATGGTCACTAGGCACCTTGAAAAGGTAATGATAATGATTAATGTTCAATACCATTAGTCCCTAGAGAAATGCAAATTCAGTTAAAAGCACAGAGAGATACCACTGCACACCTATTAGAGTGCGGAATGGCTGTGGTCCTGCTTGGGGCGCCGGCCCTTTCATGGTGCCATCTGATGAGAACGGCGGCGTTCAGGAGTTACACAGGTACACCAGGGTTGGAGGAATCTTGTCACCCAGCTTTTTCATTCCTCGTCAAACGTTTACCCTCAGGGAGGGACTGGGCAGCACAGAAGATCCGAAGGAGCAGACTGATGACAAGATTGTTTGCTTTTACAGCAGGACCAGAATCGCATTCCCATTAGCTCCGGTTACTTTTGAGGATTTTAAACAGAGGGCCCTTGCTGGATATCTGACCCAGAAATGTCCTGCTAGTCATTAAAAGCCACCATAGGATTAATATTGGCTGTAAAAAGGTCAGAGTCTGACTGTGTTAACAAAACTAATTACTGATGATTAAAGAGAAGTAGGGTTTTTAAAAAAAATCAAACAACATGAAAACAATAAACAAACCTGACTTGGGAGCTCCACACCCATTCTTGAAAAATTTTGAAACTAGTTTTTTTCGTTGTTAAAGTAATACATGCACTTAGTAAACACAATTTTTTTTCAGATGGCAGCACTGTTTCTAATAGCAAAAACTGAAAACAATCTTAGTGCCCATCAACAGAAACAAAAAAACCCCTAAAAAACAAAAAAATCAAACCCGTTGCCATCAAGTTGATGCTGACTCACAGTGACCCTACAGGACAGAGTAGAAATGCCCCATAGGGTTTATCTCCACGGAAGCAGACTGCCACGTCTGCCTCTTACAGAGTGGCCAGGGGGGTTCAAACCGCTGACCTTTTAGTTAGCAGGCAAGTGCTTAACTACTGTACCACCAGGCCTCCTTCCCATCAACAATGAAGGCATAAATTTTCATGTACTTGTACAATGGAATATTGCACAAAAGAAAAAATGAGTAACCTTGTTGAAGCAACCTGCAGAAGGATATGCTCAGTTTTTGACTCTTACATTGAGGTTGTTGCCTTACTACTGTGTGCTGTTGAGTCGTTTTCAACTCATAGCAACCCCATGTGACAGTAGAACTGCCCCATAGGGGTTTTTTTTGTCTGTAACCTTTACAGGAGCAGATGGCCAGGTCTTTCTCCCACGGAGTCACTGGGTGGGTTCTAACTGCCAACCTTGCAGTTAGCAGCTGAGCACGTAACCATTTGCGCCACCAGGGCTCCTTCTGTTGTGCATACATACTCATAGCACAGGTAGGAAAGCATGCCCGGGAGGACACACAGCACCCACGTCAGGAGTGTGGCACCTCTGGAGAGGTGGGCTACATGGGCTTCAATGTTTTCTTTCTTAGTTAAGCCGTGGGCATGCAGATGACAGCTATGCTGCTCTCTATACTTTTCTCAATTTAAAAAAAAAAAATGAGTTCACCTTATATTCCCAGAGATTTTGGGGGGGCTTCACGCCTAGTGCTTTGACGCGTTCCAGTTCCATGAGGATAACTCTTCTGTGGCTGCTATTTTCTATGGTATATGGTGCCCTTGAAAATTCTTCCTCTGTCAAAGTTAAGAGCAATCTGTGGGGGAAAGAGCCCTCTTTTGAGTACACACACCAGAAGCAAACTTTCCACATTCAGAGTTCCATCTTATCAACCCAAGTCTTTCAGGCTCAAAGTATGATAAGACATTTAATATATGAAATAATATTCTTAATAACAGCCAATAACGGAATGCTTACTATCTGCCAGTAACTACCCACAAATACTTTCACAAATCATCACACATCCATTGAATAATTCTGCAGGGTGGGTTGCATCATGCCCATTTTGTGGACGAGAAAAGTGGCTTAGAGAAGTAAAGTGACTTGGCCAAGGCCTACTCAGGTCTGTTTTGCTCCGAAGTCTTTGATCTTTCTGCCGTACACTGCAATCGCTCACATATTAGTCCATGTTTGAAATGTGTGTATGTATAGAAAAAAGATTGGGAAGAAATCTGATCTTTTTATTAGGAGGCAATCCAATACAACATGAATAGCAGTTGTCATCTGCCCCCTTTCATCGGAGAGCACAAATCAGCTCCTCAGCTATTCGTCGTTAGAAACCGCCCAGCGTGCTGGCAGAAGCAGAGGCGAACAGGCCCGCTCATGGTGCTGAGGGAGTGTACACTGATGGACTTTTTGTGGGTAGTTCGCTAATATTTATTAAAGTTGAAAAGGTTTATTGCCTTTGACCCAGCAATTCTAGTTCTAGGAATTTGTCCTACGGAAGCAAGGCATTTAGCAAACATATACTGTAATAACTAGGTAGAGAATTTCATTTGCCACAGTTGGGGGTGGGGGGCAGCTCTTGTAAGAAAAGTAGGAGTGTTTTGCTTCCCCAAAGGAGAGCCAAGCGTTGAAAGTTCAACACAGGGGTGGAGTGGGAGTCAGGCAGCCGGGTAGTGAGGGGACTGCCTGCCTGTCGGAAATAAATGGATAACAAGAGCGGTCACTGGGAGCGGGAATCTTGGGTAGGAGAGAGACCAAAGGCCTGAATGTCTAAGGATAAATTTTAGGACAATTTCTGTGTGGTGATCTGTGTGACACCCCTACACAGTCCCTCCAAGGAAACCTATAGTAAAAGTGGACAGTGCTCTGGAAAGGGGTGGGGTGATTTGTTGATGGGCAGGTTGAGTTCCTCGTACAAGTGTGTTCACTACAAGGTTGTCTGGAATGGTCTGGAACAGGAATACAGGAAACAACCCAAATGTATACTGGTTAGGAATGGATTAAATAAATTCTAGTATACAGGGCAGGCTTGTTTAGTATAATCGTGTTTTCCGTTAAATAAATAATACACATTTACAGGGTCTGTCTGTGTAAACACTGGGAAAAAGTCTAGAAGGATGTCCAGTGTGAAATAAAATGATAAGTTTTGTTTTATGAAAATACAGAGTTCTCTTACCCATGACACTAACGGTCATCTTATTAAATGTTAGAAACTTATGAGCTATATAATCATAAATATATATCTGATTTTTAATGCCTATAGCTATGCCTTGAACTATAATTAACTTTTAGAAGTAGCTTGTCCTGTTTCACATAGTTGTATTTAGGTAATCAGGCTCGTGGAAACACTTGACATGTATTATTTCAGAAAACAATCGAAGATGAATGAACATGGCCTATTTCTAAGACTCCAGAGGTCTTAACAACCATGGCTCACTGATCTTAGTAAAGTTCCTGTGTAAGCTTTGATAATGTTTGAGCACATAGTGTTCTCTTATAAGATTTTATGTATTCTGATATAAGCATCAGCCAATGAAAACTTTTTTGTTCAAGTTCCTGATGAAATTTTATGTAAGTATCCTGAAAATCGTTAATTAATCAGAGCAGTGATTTACTTGGTAATGACATGCTGCCCAACCTTAAAGCTGTCTATTACACCTGCCTAACTATCTGGTAATGGTGTTCTGGGTTATTTCTGACCCCAGCAAGATGGTAACAGTGGCCTTCCCTGAAGAGTAGGATTTCAAGGATATTTCACTTTCAGTATTATATGGTTCTATATTATTATTCTTTAATAATAATGTTATGTTACTTTTATAATCAGGAAGCAACAATAAAAACATATCAAAATGTCAGTGACATGAAATGGTACAGCTGCTTTGGAACTGGAAAACAGTTTGGCAGTTCCTCGAAAAGTTAAGCACAGAGTTACCGTATGTCTAGGAATACCATTACTAGAGAGAATCGAAAATATATGCTCACACAAAAACTTTTATGTGAATGTTCGTAGTGGCATTATTCACAACAGCCAGAAAGTGGAATCAAACCAAATGTCTATCCACTGATGAATGGATAAACAGAATCCGATATAGCTACACAAGGGCGTATTATTTAGCCATAGAAAGGAATGAAGTGGTGATGCATGCTACAACATGGATGAACCTTGAAAACATTATGCTGAGTGAAAGAAGCCAGACACAAAAGGCCACATATTGTATGATTCCATTACATGATGTGTCCAGAACAGGCAAATCCATAAAGACAGAAAGTAGGTTAGTGGTTGCCAGGGGCTGGGGGAGGGAAAATGAGGAGTGTCCACTAAAGGGTACGAGCTTTCTTTCTGGGGTGATGGAAATATTCTAACATTTGTGGTGATGGTTGCACAACTATGTGACTATACTAAAAACCAGTGAATTGTACACTTTAAATGGGTGACTTTTATGGTATGGAAATTGTATCTCAATAAAGCTGTTTAAAAAAAAAGTCAATGAAGTGTCAGAAGAGTTTGCTCCTCACCTTCCATTTACTCTCTCAGATAAAAACCTGTCTCTGTAGAGAGAGGCCCATGGGCCCAGCTGCTCCAGCCAGAGGACGACTTCTTCTGCTGTCCACTTGGCCACAGCCTTGTGAACCAGGAGGTCGTGCTCAGACTCCCTGCTGCTCCAGTGATACACGAGCAGGACCACCTGGGGAAAAGTGACAGGGACCTTCAGTTATGGAGAAGACAGAAATGCCAGTTTTTTCTACATCTGTGAGTGTGGGGCAGGGCAGGGAAGAAGACGAGCTCGAGAGGAATGATGCCATGTCTGGACAGGGGTACCGGAGCACTGGGAAACACAACTCTCCATGGCTCGTCTCTCTGCCGACTGTCAGGCAGTGAGGGAACTAAGACAGGACAAGACTCACTGCAGGGTACGGTACCTGGGAGCAGCCGCACCCACGGACCCCAGCAACTTGGTCAACATGAGTGACTTATACACCTTTTCTATTGGGAAATCTGTAACATTTAGATTTTTGTGGCATGGAACTTAAAAAGAAAATAGTCTCTACATTGGTCAGCTCAAGACTCTATCGCCAAGACAGACATGGTCTCCATTTCTGGTTCTACCACCTTTGTGCACCTCAGTTTTCTCATCTGTGAAATAGGAATAATAAGGGTGAGTCCCTGGGTGGAGCGAACAGTTAAGTGCTTGACTACTAGCTGAAAGGCTGGCGATTTGAACCCACCCGAAAGGCCTGACAATCTGCTTCTGAAAGGTTATAGCCTTGAAAACTCTATGGAGTAGTTCTTCTCTGCACACATGGGGTCACTATGAGTCAGAATCGACTTGTTGCCAACCAACATCAACAACAAATTACATTAGAGAGGTAACAGTGCCTTATCTCTACATAAGTTATGAAGAGGATTAAATGGGATAAAGCTGACATTTATTGGCTCCAACTATTCCTGGCTACTTGAGTGAGCAACATCATCCCTGAAGAAATCATACAGCCTAGCAGATTTCAGTGTAAGCTGGGAATTACCACACGCAGTCACGTCATCAACTGTTTAGGTGCACATCAACCGAATTGACACCAGTGGAAACTGAGTGTGTGTACATTGTATGTATGTGCGTGCATGTGTTTGAGAGAAAGACAGAGAAACATGAACAAAAATAAACTTACTGCCACAGCAGTTAAGGCTGTGAGCACTCCGGAAAAGAATCCCCCTCCTCTCAGCTGATTTGCTCGGCCTGTGTTGGGAGCTACAGGAATATGACCATTCCCATACTTTTGAAAGGCCGCGAGACTCTGGACTATGTCATTATTCTGTTGAATGACTTCAAATCTCATTCTAATGGCATCAGGAAATAACTTTTCAATCGCATCCCTGTGGAAAACAAAATCACAAGACGATTGGCTAAATACACTTATGTCTAGAGGCTGAAATAAAACAGTGAAAGTTTACTAATATACAAGTACATGTTAAGAATGGACAGGAATATTTATTATATTCCTGTTAGTAATAGCAAAAAATTAGAAACAACCTACATGGTCACTATTAAAGAAACAACTAAATAAAATACGGTGTATTCAGACAATGGGATGCTACGTAAATGAAAAATGAATTCACAGGTCACTGTGCATCAAGATGATTAAATCCAAGGCACATATTTTTGAATGAAAATAATAAACTGCAGAGAAACATACAGTACACCACTGACATGAGAAAATACTTGCATTCTGTATGGAACACACACATGCCTATGTTATGGAGTAAACTGTGTCTCCTCAAAAATGTGTATCAACTTGGCTAGTCCATGGTTCCCAGTATGGTGTGATTGTCCATCATTTTGTCATCTGATGTGATTTTCTTATGTGTTGTAACTCCTACCTCTATGATGTTAATGAGGTGGAATTAGCACCAGTTGTGTTAAGTTGTGTTTTAAGTTAATCTCTTTTGAGATATGAAAGAGAGAAGCAAGTAGAGAGACATGGGGATCTCATATCACCAAGAAACAAGAGCCAGAAGAATAGCGCATCCTTTGGACCCAGGGTCCCTGCGCCAAGAACCTCCTTCACTGGGGAAGACTGATGGCAAGGACCTTCTTCCAGAGCCGACAGAAAGAGAAAGTCTTCCCCTGGAGCTGGTGCCCTGAATTTGGACTTCAAGCCTCTTAGACTGTGAAAGAATAAATTTCTCTCTGTTAAAGTTATCCACTTGTGGTATTTCTGTTGTAGCAGCACTACATGACTAAGACAGCCTAAGAGTATTTTAAAAATTCTGAAAGAATTCACAACTAAGTCATAATTAAAATTATCTGGGGAAAAGGAAGGGAAGGTTCTAAGATGGAGAGGTGGGGTCAAAGGAGTCTTTTATCAATAATGTCCCAATTTTTTAAAATGAAATGTAAAAAAAATGTACGTATTGCTTGTGTTTTTAAAAATTAATTTGAAAAAGTAAAGTTCAAGAGTGACAGAAAGACCAACCATCGGGCCATACTACCAAAAGTAGGACTGTTTTCATTTTCAATTATACACAACCAAAGAATCCTCCTTCAATTTAAGATTCACCTTCAGGTAAAGCAATGCTGACTGGTAAGAGCAAAGTTATTTGTAAACACATCTCCTGTGAAAAAGAAAATGGTAGGTTAATGGTTTCATGGAACTTTCTGATTCTCTGTTGCTATCAAGAAGGCTGAATGCATTGCTAAGGCAACAGAAGTGGAGACAAGGTTCTCAAAGTCCTCATAGGAAAAGTGACTGCATGAAGCAGAAAAGATCTGGCCATCTGAGAGCTCTTGCCATTTGCTGTGGGATGCTACGCATGAGAAACTATCTCTTTTAAATGTGATCACTGGAACAGAGTTTATTCAGAGGTTTAAAAATCAACACCAAGCCAGTTATTCAGAATTATACAGTCATGCCATTTTCTCTATTAAATATAGGATGTTATCAGTGAATATAAATCAGTAAAAAGTGTCATATATAAGCAATGGTCTGACAACCAGAATTTATTTCTTTCCTTCATTTAAAATAAAAAATAAACCAATTACAGTCACCTGTGAGAAAGGGACTCTGGATTTTTAGATCCTCGATCTCCCTGACTGACATTCCAGAAGACCCAGAAAGACCAAAGAGGTCACCTCTGTGCCTTGGGCCTTTTCAAACACAGCTGCTCCCATTGACAGAAACATCTCTGTACAAGCTATATGTGCTACCCAGAAGGGCTGAGCATTACCTGAGGAGAATATTGACTTTGGGGAAGCCTTCCCATTTTTCTCTGCATTCCGGACACTCTGTTTTCTTTGAAGATGCCCACCATAGAGCTAGGCAGTGCCGGCAGAAGCTATGCCCACAGTTCAAGGTGGTAGGGTTAACCAGGATGTCATAACAGCAGTGGCAAGAAAATTCACTGACAGAAATCTGAGGGCTGGTGCTTTTGAGAGGGTCACCTTTCTCAAGGCTTGTCACGTTCAGATCACTTTTCTGAGGCTCCTCCATCTTTAGCCAGTTCTGGGATCCACAGACATAGAGAAGTTCAGACGTAGAAAATTACTGCAATGCATCATTACATCTAAGAAAAAAAAAAGACAAATAATTTAGTTGCTATTTGAGATCACTGCCATTCTAATAAAGCACTAATTTTGAAGTGTGAAAAATCTGACTGATAAAAATCCATATTACATAAACCAGATAAATATCATTAAATTTCTTTCTGGCCTGTTGGTCACACTTTTCAAAATTAAGTGGAGCAAAATAGTCTACCTGTAGTCAACGGACTTGGGGTGGTGGAGAATTCTGGACCTTTCTCTCTTACTAACTTCCTCTGAAAATGTAATTTCTTCGGACCTCAGTGTTCTCAGTTACATTTCTAAAGTCCTTTCCAGCTCTATGATTTTAAATCAACCAGTTCTTGGCAACCAATATACTTGTCTGGAGTTGGCAACCAATATACTTTATGTAAATGACATATCTGTCTAAACAAAGCTGCTTCCCCACTAGGTAATTATTATTTTATAAACATTTGCTTCCAGAAGCTCTCACAGAGTGAGTCTGAAGCAATACTAAGAACTGAGTGAGCTCAACAACCAAATAAATAAATAAAATTTAGAGAGGGAAAAAAAAAAGGTATTTAGCATTTAAAATTAAAAAAAGGCCTTGTTTTACCAGATGTCCTGTGCCACACTTCCCAGTGGCTTAGTATACTCCTTTCCCCCCAAATCAACTCAAACATGCACATCATGCTCTCTGGATCCAGCCAGTTTGGTGCCACACAAACATGCTAACGATGTGAACATAAAAATGGCAAAGGACTATGCTCACTCTCATCTGGGTCTTTGAAGATTTTCTTATTGAGAGCAGTGTGATGGAGAAGGCCTTGGAGTTAGAATCTCAACTCCCCAGCTCGCTAGCTCTGTGATCTTGCGTAAGTTACTTGAGCTCTCTGAGCCCATTTTTCTCACTTGTGAAATGGTGATATCCCGTTGCCGTCTAGTCGATTCCAACTCATAGCAACCCTATATGATAGAGTAGAACTGCCCACAGCGTTTCCAAGGCTGTGATCTTTACGGAGGCAGACCAGCACAATTCAGAGACATTGATTACATTCTTCGAGTTGTGCAACCATTCTCATTCTACTTTTCTGAGTTGTTTCTTCCCTGTTAACATAAACTTACCATCCCCTAAGGTTCCTATTTAATCTTTTGATTTGCTGTTGCAATAGCTTCCGGGGTTTATCCAGCCTCCATGGCTCCAGAAAGTCTGGGGTCCATGAAGATTTGAAATTCTGTTCTACATTTTTCCCATTTTGATCAGGATTCTTCTATAGAATTTTTGATCAAAATGTTCAGTAATAGTAGTCGGGCACCATCCAGTTCTTCTGGTCTTATGGCAAAGGAGGCAGTTGTTCATGGAGGCAATTAGCCACACATTCCATATCCTCCTTCTATTCATAACTCTCCTTCTTCCTCTGTAGCTTCAGGTAAATAGAGACCAACTGTCATGCCTTAGATGGCCACTTGCAAGCTTTTAAGATCCCAGGCAATGATCTGCACAACGAACTAGGAGGTAGAACAGAAGCACTAGGCACGTTATTAGGCCAATTAACTGGGATGTCCCATGAAGCCATGGGTAAATTCAGTTCTGGAAAAGTTGAGTTTGAGATAGTGATAAAACTTTCAAGTAGAAAGGTTTAGCAAGTACTGGAGATACAAAACTGTAGTTGGGAGTAAGAATAAGGCTAAATGTATGGATTTCAGAGTTAACTGCATACAAGTTACAAATAATATATATTGAAATTCGTTTCTCATAAATTAGCCTTTTTCAAACTGGAACACATCAGAAGTTCCTAGCTTAGCAGATCTGAAAGTTTATTTTTCATGAGAGAAAACAAATCACACCCTGATGTTAAACGTGTTTTTTATATGTCATATTTTGAAAAGCTGAGGTGGTCATTAACTCTGTTTTGCAATTGTTTTTAATGAATTAGAAACTGCACTGACTTTGATTACTTCTCAGGAATCCTGCTAGTTTCATTTTACTCTAAATGGAAAGTGAAAGCTAACAGAGAAAAAATACACAACCTTAAGCAAATTTAGTTGATCTTTTCTGCTACTTCTGTATGTCTGTATTTGCATTATTTCCACTAATTAAAGAAAGCTGTACCTTTAGAGGAGCCCTGGTGGTGCAGTGGTTAAGTGCTGGGCTGCTAACCAAAAGGTCGGCAGTTCGAATCCACCAGCCACTCCTTGGAAACCTTATGGGGCAGTTCTACTCTGTCCTACAGGGTCACAAGGAGTCGGAATCGACTCGACGGCAATGGGTTTGGTTTTTGGTTTGGTACCTTTAGAGAAGGAAAAAGGAACCCTAATGGCACAATGGTTAAGCATTTGGCTGCCAACTTAAAGGTTAGTGGTTCAAACCCACCTAGTGGCTCTGCTGGAGAAAGCCCTGGCAATCTGCTCCTGTAAAGATTAAACCCAAACCAAATCCATTGCTGTCAAGTTGATTCTAACTCACGGCAACCCTATAGAACAGAGTAGAACTGCCCTATACCGGTTCCAAGGCTGTAATCTTTACAGGAACAGATCACCAGGTCTTTTCTCCCTCAGAGCAGCTGGTGGTTTCTAACCATCGACCTTTTGGTTAGTGACCGAGCGCTTAACTATTGTGCCATCAGGGCTCCATCCCGTAAAGATTACAGCCTAGAAACCCTATGGGGCAGTTCTACTCTGTCATATAGGGTCGCTATGAGTCGGAATCAACTTGGTGGCACCTAACAACAACAACAGAAAAGGAAAGGGCCTTTAAAGTGGTAAAATCTAGCTCAGAGAGTAAAGGTACAAGTAGATCTTTTCTGCTACTTCTGCTTGTATGTATTTGGGTCATTCCCACTAATCAAAGAAGAGTACCTTTGGAGGAGGAAAGTGCCTCTGAAGTGATAAAATCTACCTCAGAGACTAAGGTTACAAACTGTGGTCCTCTGATGTGAGTAAACATACCCTATTGCACTGGCAATGATTCAAGGGCTCTTTGAGGAGACTGCCCCGTGCTCCTGAGGGTGTTCAGAGTTGTTGTCTACAAGCTCAGCTCAGCTCATCAGCAGGGCACTGTGAGCAGCAGCTAGCTTGCTGCTCTCCTTAGGATTCTTTCCTGAGTAAGTATGAGTTAGTATGTCACTCTGTCCTGTTCTTTTCCCATCTTCCCCTTGTGTCACAGGCCTCAAAGACCAGGGGGACGTGGTCAGGATAGGGGGGAGAATCATTCCATTCCCACTCCTAGTGCCCTGTTCACATGGATATACTTCAGTTTATGTTCACTTTTAATCACCACATGAAATTACAAGCGTCCCCTACCTAGTTCAAAACCATTGGGAAGAATGCCTGAGCTTGCAAACATCTACAAAACTGCAAACAGAAACACGTTTAAAAGCATCGGTTGAACACCATAGAATGGAGGAGACCAGCAAAATCTCAGGGAGGCAATTATCGGTCTCTCATGACTTGGGCAATTCTAAGACATCTATCAACCTGAACTTTGCTAAGTCTTCCCAAAGTCATACCTAACTGACATCGTGTAATTATGTAAACGCCCATGAAGGAAAAGGGCTGGGACACACACAACCTCTCCATTGGGATGAACTTGGAAGAAAAGTTGTTTGACTTGGTCAAGTCCATAACCATGGATTTATCCAAAGGGCTACCATCTGGAAGGAGGTGGTGGCACTGCTGTTATCAGTTTGCTTCTTCAATCACTTCACTAACATTTAGCAAAGTCAATTGATGCAATAATTTTTTATTGACTTTATCCAAGAAGAATGCCTTAATTCTGAGTTTAAGTTAAGGGTTGCTATCCCTTAGCTTACAAAGATTTCATTATGGAATGATTGTTAACTCTTCAGGAACTGCGATCTTCACACTGCTTGATTCAGTGGTATGTGATTATGAAACTACTCCTTCATTCAAGAAAACATTTATTGTGACTATAGTACATACCTGACATTTCAGAAATAATTAAAGGGTTAATTTATTGAGCGTCTGGTCTGAAATATACGATCTCAATCATTTCTCAGCAAAGATGTCCAGTGCAAGAATAAAAAGATTTTGGCTTATAGGGCCCCTAGTTAGGCTATTTCCTCTCATTATTTATCATGTGACAACAGAGAATAATGCAATTGCTAATACTTACTGAGCCTCATCTCTTTGGGATAAGTTTTATCGTCTCCATTGTACAGATAAGAAAAAGGGGGCCCAGTTAGTAAAGGACAGGGCCAGGTTTTAGGACATGGTCTGATTTAAAGCTTCTCCTCTGAACACATTATCCCAATAAAATAATCAATAACAGTTATTAGTTCAAAAGGCTGATTTACTCCTTTAGTGTCTAGGCCACACTATTCAGCTGCTACTGCACAGTTGAGAAAAACAAACTAAAATTTGACAACACTGCATTCTGGAACATGAACTCCAGCTGGTGGTTGTTAGGCTGAGCATGCTATTGCAAGCGATAATAAGCAGAAACATTTACAACAGACATAGGGTGAGGGTAGGTGGGTGGACACTACTCAAAACATTGGCAGGACACTACAGATATTATTAAATGTCTAAAGAGTGACTGCCCATTTCTAGTGACTATGAAATAAAATGAATGTGCCCCAATGTAAGCAAGGAAAAGGTCAGAAATGTCAATAAGAACAGAATATTACATGCACTTCCTGCAGGTGGTAAAAACTGGCTCTTCCATTACCATAAAAGAAGCATTTCCAGTCTTTAACTGTATAAAGTCTTGTATCTTTCCAACTTCAAATCGACAGATTTATTTCCTGGACAGGGTCAGAAATCACTAAGACAAAAAGAGCTAGCTCAGTTAGATCTTGGCTTGTTGCCTGAATGCTGAAGCCCTGTAATTTAGTGCCTGTGACTGGTGTTGGGCAAGATGGGAGCAGGCGGAGAAGGGCATGCTGGCTCTCCTAGAGCTTGTACGCTTTTGTTCGGTTCCATGACATGTATTCAAAGACCTGTAGTAAACCCTGTAGATCTCCAATAACACAGAAAGTGGTCAAAAATTACTGCTGGTTAC